AAGTGAGAAAGCAAGCCACCAGATCTGGGACTCTAAAGGTGGCCGGCTGTGAGTCCAGTGTCTCAACAGCTGTGCCACTTGCTGGCCTCTAGATTCACTTCTTGCTAGAAGAGAAATGTTTGAGAGAAGTTCTCTGAGCCATTATTTAACTTCTGGTGCAGGGAATATATATCCATGTGCAGTGTCTTTCATGTGAAAAAACAAAACAAAACAAAACAAAAAACTTGTTATCTTTTCTATTACAGGAGTTTAGAATAACCGAGTGGTTTCAAAGTTAATTTTGAAAGTTAAAGCCGGGGGCCAGCAGATGGCGTGGTGGTCAAGGCGCTGGACACTCCCACATGGCCTACTGGGTTTGAGTTCTGACCTGGTGGCTTGCTTTCTCACTTTCCCTGTTTTTCCCTCTGTATCTCTATCTGCTGAAATTAAAATAAATGAATGAATAAATGAAAAGAAAAAAGAAAGTTAAGGCTAATTATGGGTGGTAGGTTTTTATTTTTTGTTTGTGCTCAAGGGTTTGTGTGCTTACCAGAGGGACACATAGCAGGGGAGGAGAAAGCACCCTCCTTGGGGTATGGTCATCCTACCGTCCCTTCCCCATTTCTTCTCCTTCTCCACTTCTCCCTCCTCTCAGAATTTTGGGCACTCATGCACACTTGCCTGGTGTATTTTTCAAGCCATGGAGTCTGGGACTTGAACTGTGCAGGTGGCCATTAGGCCAACTTGCCTTAACCTCCAGGCCATGGAGTTTAGTAATCTTACTTTTGGTGTTAGCTGGGAGAGTTGAATTTGTTTATCTTCTCTGGTTTCAGACAGAGGATCCCAGTAAGTGCAGTCCTCGGTTTTGGGAGGAGCTTTTCCTCATGAAGGTAAGACTTGTGGCGTTTATAAATTGTCCTGGTCACGAAGTGGCCCTCTCCTGTGTTTCAGGTGCTCCACTAAAAATGCACTCAGGCTCTTACTGTTTCTGTGGCAGGTGAACTTGGAGTACCTAGAGGGCAAGCTGGAGTCTCTTGATGGTGAGGAGTTAATGAAGATCAAAGATAATATTAATTGCCTATTTCAGCACTGCATCCAGGCCTTGGGAGAGGAGCATCCAATTCGAGTCGTCAATGCACTGCAGGTAAACAAACTGAGAGAACGGCACAGTCTTGTTTAACAGGAGAAAAGAATTATAACATGTTTGTTGGAACCTGAGGAAACTAGAATTATTTTGGGACTTGAACTGTGGTTGGCCACGTGGGAGTCCAACCGTCTTACCCACCTTGCCACCTGATGGCTCCTTAAACAGATTGATATATTTTTTTATTTTTTAGGTATGAGGTAGAAATTCTTTTTACCTTAAGTAATCAAATATCTATGCCATGTTTATTGAGTCATTTTTCTGTTTAAACAATTTGATTCTTTTTCTTCGGAGAGATTTTTCTATGGAGTGTGTGCACTCACCAGAGAGACAGAGACATAGATAAGAAGTGAGAAATTGCTCCCCGTGGGGGATGGCCATGGCATAATCCCTTCTTCATCCTCTTCTCGGGATTTTAGGCATGTGCGCACATGTATCTGGAGTGAGTTTGAAGCCACCGAGTCTGGGACTCGAACTGTGGTTGGCCATGTTGGAGTCCAGCCGCCTTAACCACCTTGCCACCTGATGGCTCCTTAAACAAATTGATTCTTTTTTTTTTCTTTTGAGAGGTTTTTGCTTAGGGCCCATGTGCTTGCTGGGTTTTTGTTGTGGGCCCAGGTGGTTGCTGGGGGGGGGGGGGGAAGAGATACAGAGACTTTGAGAGTGAGAGGGAAAGTGAGAAATCACCCCCTACACGGGATAGCCTCACTGCCATCCCTTCTCTATTCTCCACCTGGGATCTTGGGGACGCACACACATGCACCCAGTGTGAGTTTCAAGCCTCCAGGTGCAGGACTTTTGAACCGCGGTTGGCCATGTGGGAGTCCAGCAACGTAACCACTCCACCATATGCTGGCCCCTCAGTGTGATTTTCAAGCTGCCGGGGCTGGGATTTGAACTGTACTTGGCCATGTGGAAGTCCAGAGATATAACTGCTGTGCCATCTACTGGTTCCTAAAACAAATTGACTTTTATAGTGATTATGTCCATTTAATAAAATGTCAAGGCAGGTTGACAGTTCTTACCTTTACTTGATGAAAGGAAGAGGTATGGGGAACAGTGAGGCAAGGATGGTTAATTTACAGTAAAAGTCAGGAGAGATTCTTAGTACAGTATTGTCTCAGTGGGTCAGGAGTTTTATGATTTTTTTTGTTTGTTTTATGAAAGGGAA